TTTCGAAGGCGTCAATACCATGAGCGGCAGGTGATTAAATTTTACGGAGATTTGTCACGGTCTCCAACCCTCCTCCTTTCTCAATCGGGCTTAGGGCCGGCAACGGCGAGTTATGATGTGTAGCTTGTGATGACGGCGTCATGGTCAAAATAACGTGGAAGATTTTAGCACAGTGCGTACATACTCTGCTGCTACCTTTAGCTACGGTTGTGGATAAGTATGGAAATAAAGGGGCTTTCGCTTCCACATTGTGCCATAGCTACTCCGCAGTTTCTACTATTCGGAAATCTTACAGCTGGCTCGTGATAATTTCGTAATGACTGAAACTTTTCAACTGTCGTGGTTCTGTTCATGTTCATACATCATCGACCATTTTCAGATTAGAATCAGCAGTGGGAAGGCGTGGGAACTAATTCCCAAAATGGCATGTGGTACTCTTTTCATTTTGCCGTTAGCATTTAAATAGGGGAAAAAGACGATTGGGTTTGTCTTATGAAAAACACGGAGGAGGCTTAGCAAATATGGAAGCGATTCATCACAAAATAATATTCTTCTGCTATGTGTATTCAGCATCTGGTAAGTGATACCATTTCTCAGACGAGTACATTTGGGCGTCATCTTCCAAACAAAGACCGTCGTTTATCGCCTTTTGTCCTTTCGGCTTTGCTTAGATCTTCCCTCTACATTACTTTACCGTCAGAGGCTGTTTCCCTAATCCTACAATCAAATTCAGACGTAAAACATTGAGGTTTTCATCACGGACAAAATTTGCCGATGCGAACTTCTGCATCACGTTCAGGCTCGTGTTTAAGTAGAAGATAATTATATCAATAGTTTAATTTAACCTTAAGAGTTCAAACAAAGCGTAATTTAAACCTAATGGTTTAAAATATAACACACTTGTTACGTTACACCCTAGTATGTTTGACAGATGCCTCGGTGGTCGAATATCTGTCTTTGCTTTTAATTTTGAAGTCGTTGACAGTCGTTCAGCATGTTCTCGCGAGCACTGGCGATAGTCATCGCCCTGTTGTTTCAACATGGCTTTTGTGAACCAAACGGGCGAATGGACAGTACAGCCGTTAAGCCGAACAGAGTTGGTGTGGGCTCCTCTATCGGGGGGTTGGACGATGGGCGTGCAACGGTCAGCAAGGAAGATGCGCTGCTGCCATCGGGCAGTTTTCTTAGCTCAACAATGCGTCCGGTGACAACGGACACTCCTCTTCGAAGGCAGAACTCCAAATGTGCCTGGAATTGGGAGCAAATATTGCGAAGATTACGGCTTCTTCAAATAACACCGACGTCTGTCTCGAAATCTCTTGGTGAGTCAACGCAGCTGTCGGGCAACGCCTCGCGAAACACGACAGCGGATGGGCGAAAGCGAAACAGTTCGGTCGACATTGGAGGATTCAACCTGAGTGCCATTAAGGTTAAACTTAGTAGCATTCCGATGAAGGATATGATTCCTTTCGAAAGCTCGCTGATCAGTACCATCATGATGACGATATTCATATTCTTGTTCGCGTGGTCACTTAGCGTGTTCTGTGGGAAGGATCGACCGGTCGAGTCGGATCTTCGAGCGGAATACAGGTGTCATTCCGATGAGAATAACTGTTTGCTGTTTCAGGGCCTGACCGAACCGAGAGATGATCGTAAATTATTGAACATCACATGAACATTTTTTCGCATTTGCTGCTGACAGTTGATTGCTTTTCTACGTTGTACCAGCCAAAGCTATGTGGAAGAAATTTTGATTGAAAATTAAAAATTCTTATTGTTTCATGCATTTTATTTTTTAGTGATCGCGGTTTACTTCGTCGGTACAGTTTCAGTGATACTCATTTTACAGTAAACTTGGACCAGCCGGTATTTGGCGACGAATCGCCCTGCCACAACATTT